GGGGAGTAGAAATAACAATTTGTAAATAGATACGAGGTACATTAGCCCTAGATTGAGCAGGGTGTCATTAAAGTTCGCGTAATCTCGCTGACACTTTAATTTCTACATGTCCAAAATTCCTCCGCTTTCAACTAATGTGTGTTTGTGTGTTGGCTTGGCAAGATAGGGCAGCCATTACGATAAACACAGCGAGAGCACATACGTTTGTTAAACCGAAATTGCGGTTAGATTAGAGGATGTGTCCTGCGACATTAGGTCTATTGTGCTTTCAGCCCTAGTGCTCTGATGAATCCCAGAAGTTTCCGAGGGCGGTAGAGAGTAAATATGAGTAAACTCTGGCCACATCCTTCCCAGGTGTATTAGCCTTCTCGCATTCTATGGGCAGAGGCAGTGGGGTTTCTGGTGGCATATGGCAGTACCGACACAACTCGTCTGCACTAATCCCCAGCGTGTTCATATGGGGCCGCAGCATGCAGTGACCCGTCAGTATCCCTGTTACAAATCTAAGGTTAGTCTTTTGAAAGGCTATTAGTTCCCAAGATCTTTTGTTCTAATTCTAATTGTTAATTTTCCTTACAATTAAAATTTGCCCAACGCTGATTCAAATTAGGTGGTAAATCGGTAACTCTAAGTTATTCACCAATCAATATAAAACAAAGCGGAGAATATATCATTGATTGACCTTTGATACTTATATATTCATGGTCCTCCTTGTCTAATCCTTCTTCTTCTTATTTAGCGCTGTAACCGCCCAAGTGATTTTGGCCGAGTTCAACAAAGTACGGCAGTCGTTTTTCTTCTGTGCAAACTCACGCCAATTGGTAATGCCAAGTGAAGCCAAGTTCTTCTCCATCTGGTCTTTCCATGGCAGTAGGGGCCTCCCTCTTCCTCTGCTACTAGCCACAACTACCAGCGGGTTCCGAGTTGAATACTTTCAGAGCTGGAGCGTCGGTGTCCAAGCCAGCGGAGCCGCTATATTTTAATTCGCTGCACTATGTCCATGTCGTTGTAAAGCTGTCGCCGTCGCCAACGCGTAAATGGCCATAAATCTTCCTCAAAACCTTTCTCTCGAATACTCCAAGAGCCGCCTCATCGGTGGTTTTCGGTCGTCGAGAGAGGACTTTAGTCCTGAATTGCCTACTCGGTCCAAAGTAACACTTGTTGGCAAGAGTGATTCTGCTTTGGATTTCCATGCTGACATTATTATCGGTGTTAATGCTGGTTCCCAAGTAAACGAAATTCTTTACTTTTTCGAAATTATAACTGTCAACAGTGTCGTCGGTGCCAAGCCGCGAATGTGCTGTTTGATGACAGGCGATACTTCGTCTTGTCCTCTTTTACTACCAGACCCATTCACTTTGTCCTTCCTTCCTTGTCCAACTTGGAAACGGCAGAACAGACTTCGCAGTTCTTGTTACCGATGATGTCGATGTCATCGGCACAGGTCAGCAATTGCACGCTCTTGTAGTAAATTGTTCCTGAGCGGTTCAGTT